TTTTGATTATATCCACATTGGCAGTGTGTTTCATTATAGACAAACAATTGCCTCATGGTACATGCTCAATACAAGTTGGATGAATAAACAAAGTATATAAAAATGATATATGTACATAAGCAAAAGCAAAGTGGCAATTCAAATTACATTGTTTAAAATTCTAAAGATATTTATATAATAAAATATTTCTTTTCTAAAACAGGAAGACTGTACATAGAGTATTTTAGAATTTTTCTGGGGGGGGTGGGCCTTGGGGATCGAACTTGGAACCTTGCAAGGCAGGCAGCAGAACCACTGAGCTAAATCCCCAGCCCAAGTATTTTTAGATTTGAAAAAGTATCCAACCTTCAGTTACTTTCTGAACCATCAATCATCCTGAAAACAACAGATAATGCTTGCCACTTAGTGTATACTCAGTGAAGGTTGAATGAAGAATCACAAATTTATCATCCATTAGATGAGAGATGAGCAGCTGTAAGGAACGGAGACATGTACAAACCATTTAGGTTATTTCTTTCACTACAGTTTAAGGGAACCATTTATGTGAGTAGTGGTCAGGTTGTACAGCCCATTTCTTTTGGGCCATCTTCCTGCTGTCTGGGCAGAAACTCAGAAGAAACCGAGAGTTTCACATGTAGTTGGGCCAAAGATGTTGGAGTCATCAGTCTTTAAATAAATCCCGCATTTTCACCAAGGCAAAGGGATGCAACTGTGCTTGCCAAATTCCACACAGCCTTCAGATTACCTTTCTGGATTGTCTCCCTGTTCATTTTAATCTTATTGGGGGTATGTGCATAAAAATGTTGGGGAAGGAATCTAACACACAGTGACTTATTCTCCCAAGGGAATATAGTACTCCTATGATAATCATCAAATTGTTTCTCAGTTAAAATCATAGTTACTGTGTTTGTTTTGTTTTGTTTTGTTTTGAGACAAGGTCTTTCTGTGTAGTAAAGGTTGGCCTTGAACTCACTATGTAGTCCATGCTGGCCTCGAACTTGTAGTGATCTGCCTGCCTTAACCTCCTGAGCTCTGGGCTTACAGGCATGTGCCACCATGACTGGAAGAAATCACAGTTACTTTAAAGTCAGTGTGATACTGGGGATTGAATCCACAGCAAGGCAATCCACAGTTCTACCACTGAGCTACATCAAGCCCTATAAGCATTTTTAAATGTTAGCTAGTATACAAAAATGATGAGAGGAGGAGGTTAAAAACACGTATCAACCATGTGCCAGGTTCTGTGATGTCTTTTCACATTTGTTATATAATTACCACAACGTCTCTGTTTTTAATCACTATTTGATCCTTACTGAGTGCAAGCTGCTAGATTTGAATTCTGACCCAGTAGTTCAGCCATGTGAAAGGAAGAAAATCATTCCACTTTGGGGGATGTGAGTGAAAGTGTTGGTTCTGTCTGGAGGACAGCTTCCAACACTTGGAAATGCTTTATAGATTGGAACATATTTTTCTTCATAACATCAAAGTACCTCAACTGGGACAAAGACAGACTTTTCTAGAACACACTTTATTTCTGAAAATAGTATAGAAATTTTTTGAGGAATTGTTGCTTGCAACAAAATGTGACATTAAAAATTAAGGCTGGCCTTGGTTGTTACAGGAATATTTTCACTTTGTGATGATTTTGAGCTGCACATTTATAATTTTGTATCTTTCTATATGTACATTATAGATGAATTTTCCAAACATTTACTTCAAAAAGAATAAAACAAAAAACGGGATGTTCTAAGACCGCACAAGCTAAGCAAGTTATACAACCACATCTTGATTTTTTTCTTCTTTATCACTGAAGAATAAAGATAATGGACCAAGTTGCCTCTGCCTTTCATGAGATAAGTTTTTGAATTTTCATTTGGGTAGTACAGTGTATAGTTGAACTTCTAATTTAGGACTTTTTGCCTCCCCTCTCCATGATAAGACATTTTTGAAAATGTTTCTTCCTCTCATTTTTGTATTTTAAAACAAATTTCCTGTGGCACCAAAGATCCTGCCAGTAACACTCTCCAACCCTACTTTTATTTGCATAATCCTAGAATGATTTACAGAAAACAAACATCTTGCCTTCCTTTAGGTTTGGCAGGGACAAGTGAATCCATAAATGTTTTGGGACAGTAGGAAAGGATGTTGAAAAATTCGTAGACTCTCATGAAAATTAATATTGAGAAAAAAGTTGTTTCACTACTTTTACAGAAAAGAAATTCTACCCTTCTTTTTTTACTTTTTCTTGTCATTCATGACATGAACATATTTTGAAGAGTCTGGGTCTGTTGTCATGTACAGTATCTTACAATTTAGATTATCCAATAGTATTATTTTCTCATGGTGGTTACATGTTTATAGAAAAAACTACATGTGCATAAACTGTCATTTTTCTATATCCATCCCATGTCTTCCCATGTTAGAGACTCTGCTCACGCAGACCTCTTTGATGAATGCTCTTTCCCCATCACATTTCTACATTCTTTGCTCAGTACTTAACCTTCTCCTAGAAGATATTTCCCTGATGCTCTCCATCCTGAAAGAATGTGAATATTCAAACACTTTACTTTGTCTTCTGGTAGCATGTATAAGTTTGCTGGTACATCTTTTATCTTCTCTATTTTGTAACATCTACTTTCTGAAAAATTGCTTCACTATTGTCTTTCAACCTATTGTAGACCTTATTAAACATTTTAAAATTTGTGTTTTTAGTTTTCAAGCTCCGATTTTTGTTTTCTCAGTGTCTTCTAAATAACATCCTGTTTCTTTTTTATAATTAAGTTTATTGGCACATGTTAGATATACATAATAATAGCATTCATCAAGAGAATTTGTACCCATACGTGATATATCTTTTCTCTCATTCCCTTCCCATTTTCTCCTTTAACCCTTCTTCCCCCCATTATTTACAAATCTTTCTTTACACTTTATCCTTTTCTCATTGTTTTCTTTTCCCTTCCTTTCTTTCCCCCTTTCTCCTCCCTAATTCCCTTTCCCGGTTGAACATTTTCTTCCCATTTCGCAGTATCTATTTTACATTTTGCTCCTTAGTTACACTTTCAGTTTCTCACACCAGAGAAACCATGTGATATTTACATGTGTGTCCAATTTTACTTAAGAGTATAGTCTCAAGATTCATCCATTTACCTATAAAATGTGGCACATTTATCCTTATGGCTGTGAAGTACTCCACTGTATTAAAAAACACATCTTCTTTATCCATTCATCAGTTGATGGGCATTTGGGCTGTTTCCAAGATTTGGCCATTACAAACTGTGCTGCTATAAACATGGACGTGCATATATCACTGTGGTATGCTGTTTCTTGTTTTATGGACATAATATCTTCTCAAATCTCTACAAAATTTTAATGATAATGTTCAATGAAATGTAAATTTTAATTGCAGTGTAATAAAAATGTTGCTCTTTCCCCAGCATGCCTTTGTTTAAACTTTCTTGAAGAGTTATTTTGCCTTAGTCGTTCTCTCATTAAAGGCATACAGCAAATTAAAATAGAAACTTTTGTGCACTACAAAGTTGTTAGGGAGCTCTGTAAAAGGTTCGCCACTGTCAGGTTGGCTGTAGGGTAATTCAACAGTGATTTACACATTATGCTAGGAAACTCAAAACTATCAAAAAAGATTTTTTTTTTCTGAGATCTATTTCTTTAGAAAAGAATTCTTAGCTGGGTGTGGTGGTATTGGCACATGTCCATAATCCCAGCACTCTGGGAGGCAGAAGTAAGAAGATTGTAAATTTGAGCCAAGCCCTGCAAATTTAGTGAGTTAGACAGACTATTTCAAAAATAAGCAAACAAAAAATTGAACAAGAGCCAGGAAGGCAGCTCAGTCTGAAGGCATAGGGCTCAATCCCCACTATTGCAAAAAGCAAAGCACAAACAAGCAAACGGAAAACACCTCTTCAGTTTGTTTGTTTTGCCTAGGTGGTCACTGGGCAGGCAGAGATGTGTGTGTCAATGCTTCTGTTCCTTATTGAAACTTGTAGTTATTTCCCTCTGTTTTGAGCCCTTGTTGTACCTACCCCTTCTCTCAGTCATTCCTGCACCTCTTGCCTATTTCCAATGTATCAACTTTTACCTAAGCCTCAGCTGTATCCTACCATATTAAATATTATTCATCTATTTTCCATCTTCCAGAATTTTATTGCAGTCTCTCATCCTCTGATGGGCTAGTTTGCTTTTCTTGCTATGGGCTTGCGTGCTCTTTCTATTCCTTTACCATCACTTGGTGGAGTCCTGGAAAGGACTATATTTACTTTTCTATCTTACATCAGACTGTCTGCTTAATTCAGGAATGGTTGCATTATAAATTTCTCTCTATAAATTTGGTTCTCTGAATAAATATTCGGCTTGGAAAATTCAAGAAGTGATGCTCTGGTTGTGAGAGTAAGGTTCAGTTAAGCGTGGGTGGTTTCAAGTTTCCTGAGTAATCTGGGCAAGGGGAAAGTACTTAAGATACTGCAGAGGGAGAGGGAGATAAACTGTCTTTATGATCTAAGTAGCCTGGTTACTTATTTACAATTGGGAGAAGATAAGTTGCCAAGAACTACAGAAGTTCTACAAAATGCCTCATGTTACTTAAATTAGAAAGTTGTTTTCATTCTGCTGCCAAACCATATTCCTGGGATGTTTGATTTTTTCTCCCCATTTTTAGCACCTGAAGAAAATAAAGTTGCACCGTCAGCTAGGCAGGCCACTCCTAAGCCTATTCACTCACAAAGAATGTCCCCTTTGAGTCATTATGACATTGGCTGGTTACAGCACAGTCTTCTCAGGATTGGCTGGGACTGCAAATAAAATACTGTTTGCCTATAATTAAGTTGATAAGCTACAATATAAATGTATGCAGGCTCCTGCTCTTAGGCTCTACAGTATCATGAAGCATTTGCTTTCTTTTCTCCTAAATATTTTCATGCAAGATCCAGAAAGGACACATTGACTCTAGCCAGAAGAAAAGCTCTTTAAAGAAGAAAAAGCTTAAAATGGGTCTGCTGAGCTCTAAAGCCCTGAAAGCCAAGCAAGCCCATATTCTTCTTCTGGGACTTGACTCAGCTGGGAAGTCTACTCTCCTTTATAAATTAAAGCTTGCCAAGGATGTTATAACCATCCCAACAATAGGTTTCAATGTGGAGATGATCCAAATGGAAAGCAGTTTCTCACTCACAGTCTGGGATGTTGGAGGACAAGAAAAAATGAGAACTGTTTGGAGCGATTATTGTGAGCACACTGACGGGCTGCTGTATGTTGTGGACTGCGCAGACAGGCAGCGGCTGGAAATCTCCCGGAAAGAGTTCAAACACATCTTGAAGAATGAACATATTAAAAATGTGCCTGTTGTCATATTAGCCAACAAACAAGATGTGCCTGGAGCTCTGACAGCCGAGGACATTACCAGAATGTTCCAAGTGAAGAAGCTCTGCAGTGACCGGAACTGGTATGTACAGCCCTGCTGTGCCGTCACGGGTGACGGGCTGACTGAAGGATTTGGGAAACTGACAGCGTTCGTGAAGAGCCACATGAAATCAAGAGACACTTCGGCCTTCTTCAAGCAGAAATGAGGCTGTGAAAAGGTCCAGTCCTCAACAGAGACGCTGATGACAATACGGTAACTTTTTTTTTCCATGTCAAGCGAGAAAAGCAAGTAACTAAATTGGTAAACTTTTCTTCATATGTAATTTAAACAACTCTAGAAAAATACTTAGTTTTTTAGCTGAGAGCTTTAAAAACTCTATGGTAATTATAATCTAGGTTTTTTTATATTTTGCAAAATTTTAACATGCTGGACAATCCAGAATAGTAATATTTGGAAGAAGTAAATCATTACTTTATTAATTTTAAATGACCTCTAAAGTTTAAATAAGCTGTTTGCTAACAGAGTTAGAATTCTTTCAGACTGTTTCCAGCTACTACAGGCATTGCGTGTCTATCATGCTCCTATGGAATAGCTGAAAATGAACTTTAATTACAGAGAGGGAAAACACTGATGTCAATATTTTATAAATACTTGTTCCCCAAACAGAGTTGCCCCCTACCCCAGAGTTTTGAAATCTATTGCTGAGAACTACTGAATCTTAAACAATATACCTCAGGCTAATTGCCCAGGGGCTGTGCTCTCCAAGCAGAAGTGTGTAAAATAAAATTCTGGGGATTCAGGTAGTACCTTGGAATTTAGAGCAAGATCTGAGTTCAGGGCTCAGGTCTAGGCTGCAGCTCGAACACCTGCTTCAGTGGAATTCAGTGTAATAATCATTGCATAAGGTCACATGCAATCCACCAGGGGAGCAAGATAAAGGTAGCTACAGTAGAACGGTAAGCCCTGTGTTTATTGCAGGAGAGACTCTGACCAGGAAACAGGAAGTGCTTCGTGCTGGAGATGGAGTCTAAGAAGATCCCTAACTCCTCCCGGAAGGCGCAGGTTAGCCACGTAAAGTTCCCATTCCAGAAGACTCTCCAGGAGCACTGTGAGCAGGAGGTGGCAAAGAAACTGAAGACTGAATTGGAACTCACAGGAGAGTCTCAGAACTTCCAGAGAGGGCCTGGTACTGACAGACTCTTTCTTCCTACCCCACCTCCAACAAGGGCTAGAAGCAGGCATCCAGCCTCTACAGCTGTCCCCTGGACCACAAATCTTAAGGTTACAGAGGAAAATAAAATTATGATAAGTCAAGGGTGCTGCCTCTGGATTCTTTACATGGTTTCCTTTTCTCAGCCATGATTTGTTCAGCAAAGATCTGAGTGCTTCCTTCTTGCTACATAGCAGGATTCAAAAGTAAACTAACAGAATAGTTACCATTGGCTGAATACTTGTATGTGCTGAGCATTGGGCTAAGTGCATTCATGCATCTTCTTGTTTAATGTTTACAAATGCCCTGACGAAAACAGGCATTTATGATCGCAATTTTACAGATATGAACCACACAAAAATACTTTGTATCTTAACTGAGGAGTACCAGAGCCAAGACTCAAACTTAGGTGTGTTTGATTACAAGGCCTGTGCTTTTAATTGCCATAATACCGGGTTTTTTTTGTTTTTGTTTTTGTTTCTGCTTTTGTTTTTTGAGTCTTGCTATATGGTTCAGACTGGGCTTGAATTCTATGTAGGCTAGGCTGTCCTGGAACTTGTGGTGACCCTTCTACTTCAGCCTCTCAGCCTCCCAAGTGCTGGGATTACAGGCATGTGCCACCACGCCTGGCAATACTGTTTTATTGACAAGGCATGATCTTTGAGCATGAGCTTTCAACACACAAAGAAGAGTAGATCCAGGGCTGTGGATACTGCTCAGCGATAGAGCACTTCACCTAGCCTGTTTCAGACCCTGCGTTTGATCCCTAGCACTACCAAAACAGAAACAAACAAAACAAAACACATTTCCACACCAACATAAATTACTTTCATATGACAAAGTTATTAAGGAATAAGTCAGACAAAATAAATTAAGAGCAATAACAGATATAAGAAACATTCATCATGGCAAAAAGAGATTCTGATATCCGGGGGTAGAGGAGGTAGGGTTAAATGTTCATAGTAGAGATTTTCCTAAGTTTAATAAAATAATTACAGCCTCAAATACACATGTTCCCTTACAGTTTCTTTGTTTTTAAAAAAACTGAATCTTCCTAGTTATCTTCAAATTAGGCATTACTTATTTCTTTCTATAGGAAATGTCTGAATAGAAAATGTCTTCTAGTGTTCTGGGTTTTTGGTAATTTGTTCTGTCAGGGCCTTGTGGCCTACTTCTGACAAGTTATAAAATTCAAAGTAACAAGTCTGGAAAAATATTGAAAATATTGGATGCCCTTGGGTAAGTGTGATGGGTGTGGTAGGCAGATACTTAAAGCAGCATATTCCTGCCATTTCAAAGTCTTCTCATATAGCAGCCATTCTTAAAGTCTTTGCTAGTATTCTCTCAGGAAGGTATACTATAATGCTTTTCCCCTAGGATCTGGTCTTTTTTTTTTTTCCCCCATTAGTCACTTGCTTTCTTCTTTGGGTTAATTTTTACCAGTCTTTTTTTTTTTTTTTTTTTTTTTTTGGGGTT